GCAAAATGTCTGGGTTTTTTCCTGTTGCGTTCCAATGGCCTATAATAGAATGGCTGGAGTATAGAAAGTTCTCCGTGTTTGTTGAATGAATAAATGAATTTTAACGATTCACTGTTCATTTATTCAAGAAGTCACTCCAAGACATAATTTAAAATAAATTCCAAAATAAATTGATTTTTATTCTGTCCTAATTTTTGTGAAAGTGGTAAATATAAACTTACCAAAAATCTTCAGAATAATATATATTTAAAAATTATTAAATTCTTCCTTCAGGTTTTCTTCTCCAGGCCAAACAACTGAAGTTCCTTTAGTTCTTTCTTGCAAACTAGATTTTCTAACTGTTTACTTCTTTTCTATGGTCCCTTATCAGATTTTCTACATTTCAACTAAGTTGTAGTACTAAATGGTATAAAGGTTTGATTCATAGTGAATATTAAAGGTAATTCTGTGGTTTCCATGTGAGTTCTTTCTTTCTCCCATCCTCTCTCTGTGTTTCTCCCTCCCTTTCTGTTTTTTCCTCCTTACTATCTGTGTCTCTCCCTTCTCTTCTATACCTCTCCCTTATCTCTTTCTTTTCTTCAGTCTCCTTTTTCTCTATGCTTTCCTACAAATCTACTAATTTCTAAGGGAGCACAACTATACTTATTTTTTAGGATAGTGTCTAGCGTATGGTAAATGATCCCTAAGCATTGGCTATTATTACTAACTAGTGTATATTAATGGCTAACATATAATAATAGCTAATTTATAGTCTTTCATATTAATATAATTGTATCAGTTTTATAACACATTATATAATATATAGTTATAAATATATAAATGTTATTACATTTATATAAGAGGTAAAATAAGCAGGTATGGTAGTTATAAGACATGTTAGTTTTCTATTTAGCAGCTTAAAACAACAAACATTTATTTTCCCTAAGTTTCTATGGCTTAGGAATCCAAGCACAGCTTAGCTGCATACTTCTGGCTCAGAGTATCTCACAAGGCTAGAGTCAAAGTATTGGCTGGGGCTGCAGAGAGGACCACTTGCAAGTTCATTGACACAGCTTTTGGCAGGTCTTAGGTTGCTGGCTGTTGGCTAGTGACATTCGTTCTTGCCACACAAGCATCTCCATACAGTAGCTCATAGCATGGCAGCATCTGTGTTTAGAGCAAATTAGCACGCAAGAAATTAAGAGGGAGCACCAAAGTTAGAAACCAGAGTCTCTTTGTAACCTAATCTGGGACGATACACCCCATCGCCTCTGCTATATTCTATTTACTAGTAGTCCCTAAATCCAGCCCACACTCAAGAGGAGGGGATTACACGAGGGGGTGAAGAATAGGAGGTGGGGATCTTTAGGGCCATCTTGCAGGCTGCTTAGCACATATAATATATAAAATATACATATATTTTAATCATATAAATATACTAAATTTAATAATTATACTAGCTATTACTATTTGTTAATAATTATGTACACTGAACTTCCCTTTTCCATATTCGCAAATTCCAGCCTTCTGTTTTTGTTTTCTGATGGGTAGAATGGGAAGATGGAGATTTCCCTCCCATTAATGAGTTTCTAGTATTTATCCTCTTTTGCTTGTCTACGGACAGTTTTATCAGTTATTTAAAGTCTTTTGGTTGTGGGTTCTATTTCAAGGATCTTAACAGAATCCTGAACCTGGTCAACCATTTTACATTTGCACGGTCAAGAGAGTCACAGCGCGAGACCACCAGCGCCATCACAACATTTGCAGATGGCAAAATGACGAGACAGAAGCGCTAGTTAGCATAGGTGTAAGTTACACATGTTTTACACGAACTGATTTTACAGCTTCCTGCCAAAACGCCTTTGTTTCTCTGGAATAACTGTTACCTAACTCCCTTGCCTATTTCCTTTTGCGGACTTCCCCTTGTATCACTTCAATACATCAGCTAGCTGTCCTACTGCCTAGACTCCTTTCACTCTCTCAAACTACTTTCTTCTCTAGAACTTTATCCTCTATTTCTTTGCATTTGACTCAATTTTTAAATGTTTCTATCTGGAAACAGGAAGTTACTATTTCAAGTCTCCATCTCAACGCAATTCAAATGACCAAATTTCGAGTTGTTATGTGCTAATCATTATGTCAGCCAGAGACGAGTAAGACTTAGCCTCTGTGATCAAGGAATACTCAGTCTAGTGGGGAAGACAGATTGTAAAAGAAAGAACATAATAAAGTTGATGACATAGCTATAAAAACAAGCAATGAGGTGGCTCAGGAGAGGGAGTGACTTCTCTTCAGAAGCAGAGGGGACCAGGAAAGCTTTCTGGGAAGAGGCAGCATCTAAGCTGGGTTTTGATGGAGATATAAGCATTTATTTACTGCAGTTGGGAAAAGAATATTTCAGAAAGGAAGGAACAGAAAGTGCAATGTACAGAGGCATGAAGAACAGCGTATTGGAGCAGGTATGGGTTACTAAGAAGCGGAGAGTTTTCTGAGGACTCTATGTTTGCTGGCTCCTAAGGCCTGCACTGAGGCCATCTTTTAAGTTTGGCTGTTGCTATTTTATTGCCTCATTGCTCTACACACCGCTCTCTCTCTTCCCTCCCTCCCCACCTCATACAATCCTCCTTCTTTCCTTTTATGGGAATTTTTTTTGTGTTTAGGCCCTGGATTTAATTTTGTTGGATTGGACTGTAGTAATAACGTTTCTGTACATTTGCCCAGAGGCCTTCAGCTAATGGGTGTATTCTTTACAGGCCAATAAACAGATGACTAAAGCCAGCGTGCTGTCTCGCATCTCTGTCTCCTTTCTCTTTCTTTGCACTTTACTCATCTTCCATTGGTTGGAGATCTTTTCCGAAAACTAAAATTTTCTTAGGTAACACAAACATTAGATTGCCTTCTGCATCTGCCCGTCAGTTCCATGAGGACTTTCCTGTTGCTGGAGAATATGCTCTTCACCCACCGGAGATCCAGCCTGTGTCAGAAGGGAGTATGGACTGCTGCCCAGGGAATTCTCCCCCAGTGTCAGGGAGAACCTCAGAAAATTATGGGCTCACATCTCTGGATGGTAGTTGCTCATTTCTGGCTAATGGTGCTGATTTTGACGTGATGTAATTCAAGGATAAACTGATAGTGTAATCGAACAGAGGCTCACCCAATCACCTTGAGAAAAGTAAATCTGAGGTTCTCCAAACCTGGTAGCCAAGCCTGGGCTCTGAAGACAAATGGGGAACAGTGCCAGAAGAAAGGGGCCACCGTAGCTGCCATGAAGAAAAAAAGTAACCAAACTATTGTGAAATAAACTGCCTTCTTGAATGCCTATTAAGCCCAAGAAGAGATAGTGGCTTCTGCTCTCTGCCAGTTCCTGCCTTGCTTCCTCTCCTCTTCTGCACCCTGCCTGTCTTCCCCATCTGCCTTGCTCTGAACATTCTGTTCCTGTTTTCACTGTCTTAACTTCAGACTCCCTCCTAAGACCCCAGGAGAGCACCCCCTCCTACTGCCTGGGGAGACTTTCCTATAGTCTCTAGCTAGGCCAGCACACTGAGGTCATTGCTCTCCCTGCCAAATCATTGGCCTGAGTTCAGTTTCTCCATCGGTCTGAGCTTCATGGAAAACATGATTGTTGCTCTAGGCTCTCTATTATATGTCCTGCCTTAGTTCTGCTTTGCATCTGCCGTTTTGTTTCTCCTGGACCCTCACCTCCCTGCCTTTTCTTTCCCTAACTCTCCTCAGACTAGAGTCACATCTGTTTTCCAGCCTCTGCACTCTCACTGTGAAGCAGATGGGAGAAGAGCAAGGTCCGGGCCAGGGAGATCTGAAGAGCTGGGTTTGTACTCAGATTTCTTCTGAGGACTCACCAGAATCCATGTGTCTCAGAGACGGAACATGTACAGCTCCCTTGGAGGAACTGGAGGTGTCATTTGCTTATTTCTGACTACGTCTATAGCTGTCCCTTCCTCCTAACTAGACAGCTAGGTTCCTTCTTTTTTTCCTTCTTTCCTTCCTTCCTTCCTTCCTCTTAGCTCATTAAGGAGACCCTCAGTGTTGACTAAAGGTGCTAACAGATAAATTGAAACTCATACCCTTCTAGTACACATAAGGTCGACCATTTCTCAAATATGAGTTTCTATAATTCAAGATTATTCCCTCCAAAATGGAGATGTTTTAATGGTCCAACCACCAGTGTCTTTATGAATAAGAGCAAATACAAAGTCATTAAAACTCCTGGATCAGAGAAAGTGTTATCTACATATTACACGATCTGAGGAAAAGCACATGATCTGAGGAAAAGGCAAGCAAAATGAACTTGGCTCCCAATTTCCTTTGGGCTTCTGATGGCACTTTATCCTTAAGATTCTAGAAATCAAGATTCTTAGCATAAGCTTAAACAAAGCCAAAAGACAGAACAAGTCTGGCATCTCCTCTCACAGAGCTCCTCCATGTTTCAAAAACAAATTTGGAGAGTTCTGTGTTTCTCAGCCTTTCCTAACCCTAAGACAGACAGCGCTCCTCTTGGATGAAATTCATGTGGTGTCTGTGTTGGCTTGGATTTGGAAGTAAATAGGATTCCCAGGGGAAAAAAACAAGAGCCTGAATGCGTGGGTCAAGAAAGAGGCAAAGAAAAAAGAGAAATACAGGGATAGAAAGGAATTTGTTGGTGTTGAAGAGATGAACGTTGAAAAAAAATGAAAGCGAGAAAGGAGGATGGAGGAATGATTCAAATACAGAAGACAGCCAGAGAGACAGAAACAGATTCTGGTGATGTTCAGTAAAACACTCCAAGGATGAGGGGAAACTATTTAAGTAAGAAGGCACTCAAGGAAAAGGGGATGTTGGGGCCAGATTGTGAGAGGAAAAATAGGCTCATGGAAGAAAGGCAAATACGAGCTCGGGCCAACTCTCCTAGCGAACGGCAGCATCTCTCACCAATGTGGTCATAATCTTAGGAATGAGGGTGTGAGTGACTGCAAATTCCCATCCCCCTTCTCATTCCAGCCTCATTGCACTCCTCTAGCCTGGCTTCCTCTCTCTCTCTCTCTCTCCCCTTCGCTCTCCCTCATCTCATTGTTTCAGAGTAGGCCAAATTTGAAGTCCTTCCCAGGGAGTGGCCCTGTTCATCTTATTCTCCAGCCAAAGCAGGAACAGCGTGAGAAGGAGAGAGACACTTTCAGCAGCCAAAGGACTCGGTGGAAAGAGCAGAGGACCATAGACAGTGAGTTATTCAATTATATAAAACTTGAAATAGAAGGAGTGTGTGTGTGTGTGTTTGTTTGTGTTTGTCCATTGAAAGGCTGGAGGAAGGCAATGGGGAATGTTACTGAACTTGGATTTGAGCAAACATCCCAATTATCTATAGAAGTTTAATGAAGGGAGGCATCAAGATGAGCAGATGATATAAAAATGACACAGATACCAAAAAGGAAGATTAGATACTAGGGATGAAAGAAGCCACAGGGTAGGGGCAAAGTTGGACCATTTTGAATATAAAAATTCCTCTGACTTGGTAGATAAGAACAATGAGAGTGAGAATAATGGCAGGTGATCAAAGAATAGAATTTTAAGGAGAAATAAATGTTGAGTGAAAGATAAGAAAAGAGAGACAGGGTTTGAGTCATATGGGGGACCAAGAAACCTCTTGGGGTGACAAAGAGACAGGGCCCTACAGACCTCCGTGCCTGGAACTGAGATGCTGATGTGTCCCTGAGCATTACAATCTCTACTCTACCTACCACCCTGTTAGATATGCTGCTCTCAGGACCCAAGGCGCTGCTGTTTCTCACTGCACTCATCATCCCCTGCGGTGAGTCCCTACCTTTTATTCTTTGCTCCCTAAACTTCAGCTCCTCAGCGATACACGTGTGTGGAGGTGCGTGTTAGAGCGTGGGATGGAAGGAGGTTGAAGGGGAATGGGAGGAGAGATGCTTGTTATTGAGTTCTAGAATTACTATTAAAGAGAGAAAAGAACAGATTTCGTGTCAAAGAAGAAAGGGCAAGAGTATGGATAGAGATGACCTCGGGCTTGGAAAAAGGTATCCTGAGAGTTATGAAACTAATGCTAAATGAAGATGCACAGATGCCTATGAACCAAAATAGGGTCACAGACATAGATATACAAGTAAATACCAAAGGAAAAAGAAACTGATATACAAGTGCATACACAAACATAGAGACCACCTAATAAGAAACTGGACCAAATTTAAATTCTGAAGGAAAATAGTGGGAGAATATACACTAACACCTAACAAACACCAGCACCAGCATACACACAAATATATTCACACGCACACAAAAAACACATGCCATGTCTGTACACAAAAGAAAAATGATCTTCACAGATTTCACAGAATCTAGCTAGGAGATTGGCCACAGAAAGTGAACCTCAAACCTCAAAGAAATCCTGCTTGATTTCTTTTCTCTTTCTTCCAGATACAGACTGTGAAAAAATAATTTTTTTGCCTTGTTCAATAGTGTACCTAGTGGGACAGTTGTGGGAATAGAAGGACAGCACACATTAGAAAGGCTGCTGGCCCTGTCTTTGCAACAGGACCCCACCCCTTCTGGTTGGGGATGAGGGCAAAGGGCATCCTGAGTCAGGGCACAGCAGAGCAGGGCTTTGTTCTCAGGAACTGGTCTTTCTTGAGTGTCTCCATGTTTGTTTGTAGCGCTAACAGTCTGAGTAATTCTGTTTTAAGCAATATAGAAGTAAAGCATAGAAAGATAAAGCACAACCCATCATTTTCTGGTTCATCTCATCAAAGCTTTATGGAGCATAGAGCAGGAGTCACTCACATCGTTTTCTCCTTCCTTTGGTACAGACTGGACACCCCTAGGGGTCAATGGTCAACGAGGAGGTAGGTAAACCCTTGGATCTGCGCTCTGTTGGGATTCTTATTAGGATAATGCAGCTGAATGGTGAGAGTTAAAGAATCTGTAACACGACAGAGATACACTTCCGGGGGTGGGGTAGGGGACAGGATCTAATTCACCAGTTTTCACAATCCTATTATCCCATTCATAAAACCTTGTTGTCTTTTTTTTTTTCACTACTGAAATTCCCAAGACCTCCTCAATGCCCATCTCTTGTTTTCAGTCTTCTTGATACATCTCTTATCTCACTCAGAAGATGCCCACTAATCCTAACAGAAAGCATTTTCCTATCCATGTAACAGTGGAAAAATTAAAATGCGAAGACAGGATGAGAAGTCATCTCAGTACTACAGTGAAATTGTGGCACAACTGGACAGAACCCAAAAGCTTTGGTGTCCAAAGACCACTTCCTTCAGCCTGATGAGCGAAACTCTGATCAACATCTCCGCTCTGCCTCCAGACCTTCAACAGAATTATGATTTCTCTCTTACCTTTCCCAACCCTTGAGACCATGACAGTATGTAACCCATTAATGGGGCCTCAAATCAAATTAGTGGGTCACAATTGGTATTTTTTAGTGAATTAGGATAGATTAAAATAAAAATAAAGTACATTGCAAGAGTAAAGTATTATCTTACCAAACTTCTTTTAGTTTTGTATGTGTACACTGGGGCACAACATAATTTCTTACTGTGTGTCCTCATACACAAAATAAAAATATAGGAACAAAACTTTTTTTCTCTGTTGTGGGTAAAAAGGGCTGAATCCTCAAGTTTCTGAAGCTGTTTCAGATTTCAGTACTACCAAAAGTAAAAATCTGAATTAATTTCTCTGGGCTGGTTAAGGTCCAGTCCTGTTTAATGACTTAATGATGCTTTTCTAGCAGAAATATTATACAATAAAAATGTCACCTTAAGATTCCTTTTCAGAGAATATTCATGAATCCCAGATAAGCATTTATATGATGGTAGCTCATGGAAAAGTGGGTAGCGGGCAAACTGAGGAATATACAGAAAAGCAGTGCTCTGCCCTGAAACCCAAGGAGACAGCTAGGATGCACTCAACCTCTTTGCTCTCCCACTGCTTCATTTCTGTTTCTCTGCGTGGCTGGACTGGAATGCAGCTAGAGGAAGGGAAACAGGGCCGGCCAGGGCTGCACCCTGGGGAGGCTCCACGCCTCTCTTACAGGCTCTGGAATGACTAGGTCAGTGGTTTTTTAAAAAATATCCTATGGGATTGGAACAGACCTGGATTGCTTTTATCAAAATTTGTTCTGAAAGAAGAAAGCTTATAGTGAGTCTTAAAGACACGAAGGCTCTTTTGTCAGATGGATGACTTTCTATCTGAAATTCTTTTGAAAGGGATGAGGTAAGCAGTAAGCAGGGAAAATCCATTCAAAATGTTCTGTTCGTGTTTTGCCTCTAGTACAATGATCAACACCTCTGACACGCTTTGTAAAAATGCTATTCTCACCAGATTGAAATCTGACATTTAGACTGAAGTTTTCAAAAAAGAAAAAAAGTCAAAACAAACTCTGTGAATTTGCTGACCCCTAGTGGGTAAAATAGATTATGATTATCAGCCGTCTACAAAGGATAACTATAGATGAGACATTTGCTAAATATATGGATGTTAACACTGTTTTCTTAGTTTGTTTTTTAAAGTCAAGACAATTTGTTTTAGGAGGTGCTATTATTTATAGTTTCAAATTCCGTTTTCTTAGTTTATTGTAATTGATTTCACCTAAGACCTGGGTCGTTTTTGTTTCTTCTCTGCCCGCCTTTAGTCTCCAGTGATCAAGTGCAAGACACTCTCTACTAACACTGGCACTTCCCCTCCCCTCTCTTCACCTTCACTTCTCCTTGAGCATCAGAAACCCATCAACATGACCTTTTGTGAAAATTCTTGTCTATAAGCATATCAGCAAACTGATATTGAATTGTATCAAAATTATAAATATCAAAATCACAATGTCTTTGGTAAAGACAATTTCTCTTTAAATAAGTATCACAGAGAGGTCATCAATCCACTGCAATTATTAACAAGTTCTATGATTTGGGGTAAATTATTTATTCTTCTGGTGCTCGGTTTTATCATCGGTAAAACAGATTTAAGCAGGGGCTAGCCCCGTGGCTGAGTGGTTAAGTTCTCATGCTCCGCTGTGGCGGCCCACGGTTTTGCTGGTTCAGATCCTGGGCACGGACATGGCACCACTCATCAGGCCATGCTGAGGCAGCGTCCCACATGCCACAACTAGAAGGACCTGCAACTAAGATATACAACTATGTGCCAGGGGGATTTGGGGAGATAAAGCAGAAAAACAAACAAACAAAACAGATTTAAGCAGTACCTGGCACAGAGTAAACCCAGATTAACTATATGTATTATTATCTGTTAGGACAATGAAATAATATGCTATTCCTGCAGTCCAATGCTTAATCAACATCTAGTTGAGAAAGAGGATGCCTGTGGAGGATTATCTGATGGGCATGTAGTTCATTCATTCCTGTTGATAAGGCGGACAAAGGAAAAAGGATATTCTAGGCTGGGACTGTGTAGGTGTATTCACGGAAGTAGGAAAGCGTGACGTTTGTTTGGGTTACAGGGGAAAGGGCTTCGGTTGAGAAGGAAGCCAAAAAACAACATTGTGGGATACTTACTACGTGCCGGCCGCTGTGCTGGTCAGTTTCACTGACTGGGAGTGCAAAGGTGGGAGGGGCACAGAATGCTCAGCAAATGCTTTCTGATTTTTTCATTCAGACGATGTGACTCAAGTGACGCAAGAAACCTTCACAGAGGATCCCAGTAAGCTACTTGTTTATTTCTTTGCTTTCATCTTGGTGATAGAAGGGTGAGGATGATGTCTGTACAAAGAAAAACGAGGACTAGGAGAGAGGTCAGTGGAGACTCTGAGCTCACGCAGAGCCCTGTTGTCTGTCTTAGATGCCTCTGACACTGTAAACACGCCCAGTCTTTTTATCTCTTCCATTTCCTCTTGTGACGGTCCCTTATATTTGCCCAAGAGTCCACGTGCTTTCACTTCAATCTTTCTTGTCTCCTTTTAGATCATCATCCCTTCATCCAGCCTTTCTTTTCTTTTTCTTTTAGGAAAAGTATTTCCTACCTGCGTTTTTCATTCTCTGTTCTCTTGTCTTTGCAGATCTGGTGAATGATCCTTCGACGGATGAAACAGGTAGATTTTACTACAGTTCTTTAAAAACGGCATGATTTTTGTTAATATTCACAATATTTATTCCAGCTCTCAAATTAATCCTATATTTTATCTCTCTGAAAGGGATAGAGGGATTGTGGGTGTGTTATTCAGTGACAGTGGAATGAAAGCCAAGAAGGGACTCCGACTTCGCTAAAGGAAGGAAATAGTGGATTAATAGCTAAAATAAGGCTAAAATAATAAATTATATAATATAATACAAAATATATATAAAATATATAAAATACATATTATATATTATATATATTTATTAAAAATATTTTATTTTATATAAAATATATAAAATATAAAACATAAAATTTAATATAAAATAACAAATTAATAGCTAAAATAAGTGGATAATAAAGGATTTTAAAAATTAGTGTAATGTCTATAGGCCAAATATTCTTCAAAAAATATTCACCACTACTTCAATTAACACTATTCCCTTGAACATGATGCACCCAGCCATAGCCTTGACCTTGCACTGATATCTCCATTCTCCCTCTTCTACTCTGCCTTCCCCCTTGCCGATTTAAAGCCCTCCTCATACCTGCTGTTTTGTGCCTTTTCAGTTCTGGCTGATATCACGCCTTCCACAGATGACCTGGGTGAGTTCAGATCCGGGATCCCAGGGCCCCCAGGGCCATTCTGGGCTTTCCTCAGAGCCCATTATGGAAGGCAGTACAGCTGGTGAAGGATCCTAAATAGACAGCACCACAGTTTATGTAGCACATTCTTCCAACAGTTCACTTTAAATTAATGACATTTTTGATGCCTTAACAAGCAGGAACAGTGCTAGGTGTTGATATACAAAATACCAAGACGTGATCTTTTCCTCAAAGTTTCCAAGACTGGACAGGTAAAGCCAAGACAAATATATAAACAAATACATGTTTGGGAAGATAAAAGGAAGCTTTCTAGAAGAAGCAATGGTTAAACTGAATTTTGAAGGAAAAATTGGAGTAAGCCCGGCAGTCATGTAGGGGATGGCCATTCCAGCCAGAGGGAATAGCATGTTCAGAGATGCGAAAGAAAAATAGCGCTTGGCACATTGGGGAAACTGAGTTTTTTTATTGATTAGGGCAAAAACTACAAGAAACAAGTAAGTGGTAGGATGTGCGAAAAAGAAGCTAGATTATTTTTAACAAATAGTTACTGAAAATCTGCTACTAGGTGCCAGGGATATAAATGTGAACAAAACTGATTTTCTTCTACTAGCTATCTTTTGTCTAATAGACAAGATAGACAAATGAACAGACAACTTTATTCAGTTTCACAAAATGCTATAATCAGTACAGGCAAAGGAAGCTACAGAAGACTCAAAAAGAGTCCTTGACTACATCCAGCGCTGGGGGTTAGGAAAGGCTTTTCTGGAGGGCACAGTAGCTAACTTGCTTCTTGAAAGACAAGTAGAAGTGAATCAAGTGAATAGAGGCGGGAAGAGCTTTTAGGTAAAGAAAACCACATGGACAAAGGCTTAGGATAGAAATGAAAACCAATCAGAGAGGAGTTTATGCAAAGAAAGGTTCTAATCAGATTTGTGAATTGGAAAACCAGTGAGGACCCTGTTGTAATAGACTCAATGAAAGATGGTGGCCTGAACTAAGGTAGAGGTAGTGAGAATGAAATGTGAGCTGTCAGGCGGAGAGGACTATCGAGACCATGGCCAGTTTTCTACTGGGTAGAGGGTGGTTATTGGGTGCCTGGTGGTACCATTCACTGAAGAACAATTTAAACTGATGAAGGGAAAGATAGTCAAGTCAGTTTGAGATATGTTGGATTTGAGAGATCTTTGAAAAATCCATGAACTCTTCCATAAAATAGCAGTTGGATTTATAGGTCTGGAGCTTAGAAGAGAGGTCTGGGGTAGAAGTATAAATCTGAGAATTCTCAGCATATAAACCTGCAACTGGAACCCAGGAATAGATACAATCGCCTAGCATACTTCCCATAGTATCCTATTAGCAACTCCTTCAAAACATCTTTACAGATAACGCCCATGGTTAGCGTATTCCCTCAAGACTCATCTTACTCGTTCATTTGTTCTCCATTCAACAAACTAGGCCATATTTAACCTGCCCTAGGGTAGGTTTGGCTGTGGCTATGACTCTCATTATTCTTTACCCAAAAGCCTTTATCAAAGAACCATGATGATGTATCTAATTTACAGAGAAGAAATTGTCTTTAATGAGGAAGAGCTTCTACAGGATAATAATCTTTTCTCTCCTTAGCTCTAGGATGAAGCTCTTCTGGACATATGGCTCTCTGCCTTGTGTCCCCTACTAAATTTGCTTCTTGACAACAACATAAAGATACTCAAAATACAATAAATTTCTCAACTTTCTAGGAGAGAAACAAGAAAGGCAAAATCAAATTTCCCATCCTAACTTCCAAATCTCTTCAATTTTGTGGATCGAAACAGCTCGTTATGGATTTTCCTTTAGAAGTTGCTAAAAGAGTTATTAACTCATTTGTTTCCTATTTATGGGTGTCCCACGTGGGTCTCAAGTGAGGCAACATGAATTACAGAGGAAGCAACTTCTAGAACTAGTAATAACTGAATAAAATTTCTGCCTTCCAGCCTCGCCCAATGATAAAAATGCCACTGCAGGTATGATTGTCTTTTTCTTAAGCTTTTTTTCTTCCTGAGGATTCCTTACCTCCTTCTTCTTTGGAGGGCACTTGGTACATCTTCTAGTTTACTTCCAATTCTTTCTCAGAGAATATTTTTACTACCCTTTATTTTCCCACCCCACTCCCCTTTGTTAAAGAGCTCCTGTCCTAAAAATCATGGGGAAAAGACAGAACCCCTTTTGCATGGTCCTGAAACAATCCTGTCCCTAAACTACCTTGGGACTTTATTTGGCTCGTGGGTTGTGTGTTGGGAAGTGACTGCAAGGACTCAAGATTACCATAGATGTCATGACTAGAATTGCTTTCTTTAATGTAGTGATAATTCTGATGTGCAGAAAACCACTGGAACAGAGAAACAGTGGCCCACCTAAGAATTCTCATTCTTCAGAATGGGATTATCAGGATTTCAATCTGATATTTCATATTGCCACCTGGATAAGCCTTAGAAGGACTTTTTCCTAGAAGAGCCCTCAGAGATTATTTAATCCACTTCTGTTTCCAGGTAGGGAAACACCGAAATTTCATTTTAGCCAATTTCCTAGTGCTCTGTTTTAGTGAGCGGGAAAGACATGCCCCAACTTACTATGATCCTCTGTAGAAACTACTTTGTATTTGTTTCCCACTCTTATCTCCTCTCCTCTAGCCTTTTAATCTTTTGTTTATGGCTTTCCTATTGTTATGCCTCTCCCGATTTTTGGGCTTCTTCAGAGTGCCGGGATGAGAAATTTGCTTGCACAAGACTCTATTCTGTGCATCGGCCAGTCAAGCAATGCGTTCATCAGTTATGTTTCACCAGGTAAGGAATCCCAGAACACCCAGAGAGCATCTTACATGGTAGTGGTTTTGTGTCAGTAACTAATGAGCACCCACTGTGAATGGGGCAGAAGTTTTTAGCATGACCCTCCTAAGCCATTCCTGAAGATGCCAGCTAGAACCTAGAGTCTGGACTGAGGCATATGGAGAACAGACTGACTAAGAACTCTAGACCCAAGAAAGCAAATGAATGAGAGGGCTGGAAAAAGGAAAGTCATGAGGCAAACACTGGTACGTTGAATTTATTACCTCATAGAAAAAGGCTGAAGTAAGAGATTCAACTCTGAGGACAGAAAATAGTGGGGAGGAGTATTGAGCTTGATTGTAGGTGGAATGTGCAAAGTGTTGCTATGAAGAGTAATTCAGACCATTCCATCTCCACATTCCTCTGGAGGGAAAAAAAAGAAGTCTGAAACACTTAAGGAAACCCAAATAGGGGAGAACAGATAAGGAAGAGTGGGGAATACAGGAGGTAAAGAGACATCTTAGGCCTAGGCCAGTCCTCCCTCTCAATGATTTTTTTCTATCTCTGTCCTTAACCATGACCTTGGGACTATGGCAGTTTACGACGGATGTACATCATCAACAATGAGATCTGCTCCCGTCTTGTCTGTAAAGAACACGAAGCTATGAAAGGTAAGACGATGTCTGGGTTTTTAGGAGAGAGAGACAGTCAGGAGAGAGGTACATAGGGACATGATGCTCATGGATCTCGTGGATCTAAGCTCTGGCTTTGGAGAAGGGCTTTAGGCCACCCCTTTAACTTCTGTCAGCCCCTGGTCCACCACATTACCCCAAATAAACAATCTAAATAAAGCAGTATCTTAATATATAAACATAACCCTAAGAAGAGGACCCCTAGATCTCTTTCCAATTAGACTGTAACCCCCAACCTCTCTTCCTGAAGCTCTGGCCACTTTGAAGATCTTTCATCAGAGTTCTAGATGAGAGGGCCAAGTCAGCCATTACAGATCACAGATTCTACTAGTCTGCAGCCATGTTGACAACTCTAAAAAGAAAAAAAAAAAAAAACCCACCACTTATTTGGAGACAGTAATGTTTGGATAGGGCCTATAAATAAATTAAAAATCTACTGGACATTTAGACACTGGCTACATTATAAACAGTCCACCAATTCCAGGAACTATTTACATTACTTATTGTGAAATTTCAGAGGTAGAGGAAGATAGAAAGACTTTAAAACAATTAAAATGGTCCAAAGTGTGTGGTTATAGACCACACATAGTGGAAGCAAAGATACTTCTCACCTTCCCCATGGCCAGCCTTAAACGATGGCTGTGGTTGATGAAGCCACCACAGACACAGCCACTTCTGACTCAGCAGCCCGCCTTGAGCTGAGTTCCTGAGTAAGACCTGTAGCGAACTTCGCAGAAGGAAACTTGCTGCTTGCCCCCATTGGCTCTGTGCAAGCCACCTGCAAGGGAAGCACCTTGACATTGAGGATGAGTATTTGGGACTCTAGGCACTTTCAAGTGTCTCAAGGGACTTACTAAAGTTAGCTTTTTGCACACAGTAAACACTTAAACATATATTGAATGATTGGACCTCATATTTTTGCTATTTAATAAGCCCATGATTAGAAGAATTGGGAGCTAGGTATAGAAAGGAAACTAAAATTTCCTGACCACTTGTGCTAGGTACTTTGCATACATTATTCACTTTAATACTCTCAACTACAGTGTTGAGGCAGGTATTTTAACACTTATTTTACACAAAGGGATAGTGAGGTTCAGAAAAGTTAAGAAACTTTATAGTAAATAGCAAATAACCAGTGGCAGAGCTGGGGTTCTAACCCACATCTATTTCTCTTCAACCTTTTCGTGACCCCACACTGCAGTCTTCTCTTTCTCCTCAAGCGTGAGCCCCTATTTCTCCCTGCATTCTCATTCCATCATGCTCTGCTTCTCTTCTAGATGAACTTTGCCGTCAGATGGCTGGTCTACCCCCAAGGCGACTCCGTCGTTCCAACTACTTCCGACTTCCTCCCTGTGACAATGTGAATCTGCAGAGACCCAGTGGTCTCTGATCATCAAGGAAGAGGAAAGAAGAATGTGTGGATGGGAGGAAGAGAATGCTCTAAGAATAGGGAACTCCTTGTCCAACCATTTTCAGCTAACCCATAGACATTAGCATTTCTTAAACCAATTGCTTTGCATGTCTAGCTTTTGCCCCTACTCCCTGATTTTTCACCCTGACTAATTAACATTTATGTCATTTTTCAATACATAAAATATAAAGTCTATATTATTGCATGGTTTGGGTGCTCCCCAATATCATAGACATGGTAGATAAATGATGACCATGTGACTCATATACAAACATTCTACATACAATTTCAAGGGAACATAAACTTTAGGTTAGTAATATTTACTATTAAATCTGTCTGAGAAAGATCTTAGAGTGAAAGAAGCTATCATTGTCTATTTTCACTAGTCATACAACTTCATTTATTCTGCTTTCAAGAGTTTCCTAGATTAACACCCCATTCATCTACATGGTCCTCTTTACTCTTATTTTAACTGTTTTGCTGATTGTCCTAACATTTGCCTGGCAATTCCTCTTTATGAGAAGAATCACAGTAATTTCTGTAGTCCTAGGAAATTTTCCAGAGCCAAGAGTTATACAATCCTACTAGCAACATATAAAGACCCAAAATGTTGTCTTTTACTAAGCTCAGAGGCTGAGGCTAGAGGAGCACACCAGGTATAGAACTTGGACTCATGATTCCACATTCAATTTTTCATGCAGTTGTCCAATCGGCAGATAGTGCTGGAAAGTAAGTCTCATGTATTTACTTAGCCCACCTCCACACATTAATTAGACAACTTAATGTGAAATCATATCATTGGTCTGAGCTTCCTTGAGTTGTTGCTACTTCTTTCATCCTCATCACTTACCAAAATCTATAGAGATTATTGTGCAAATGCATTCTAGAATAGCCTGATTTGGGGCCTTAAGAAGGGCATTCAGACCTGAACTTCAATAGGAAGGCACGAAGTTTACCCAATGGTTTCTAGGAAAGAGTAAAAGAAACACGATATTCAGTCAAACCACATTGTTATCTGGCTCTAGCAGTAACCAGGTAGCCTCAAATAAGTCATGTTCCCTCGGCAGGCCCTGGTTTAATGTCCCTATCTTTAACATGAGAAAGTTAAATTTATGTAAGTTCTAAGGTTTCTTTTAATTATATGATTCTCAAGATTTGAATGCATTAGTCTTGTTTCTTGAAACCTAGACGTAGTCTAATTCACAACAACCACGTCTGCTTTATAAGGTGGGAAATACCCTCCATTAGGACAGCAGGCCACAATGTCATAGAACAAAATCCCATTATAAGTGACAAATTATATATTATGAGCCCTTCCATCTGAATAACTCAGTAACTTTCTACAAAGCCAATGAAATTCAAGTGAGAACCAGGGGACTCTGAGACAACAAGTTACCTGAGAGAATTCCACTCTGCAGGGATGGATTCCTTTCGTATTGCTGAGAAGACTACCTAAATGACGATCAGGCTCTTGCTGTTAAGAAGCAATTTAATTTAATGGATTTGCACAACTGAATAAAGAGAAATGCTAGGAAAAGCCCCAAAGCATGTCATCTCTGCTCCGTAGTCTCTAGAAGTAAATGTACTCATACCTAGAAAGACATATTAAGTGGATATTGTAGCTACTGTAGAGAAATCTCATAGGCACAGAGTTTCCAAGAATCTCTTCGTGAACTTGACCCTCCTACTGCATGTTGAATGAGAGGTGGCATTTCCACCAGAAAGCACCTCAATCCCAGTATTGTGTATGTTGCAAATTAAACATTTTAAAATAATGTTTTCTCAAGTTTCATTTTCAGAAGAGAGTGTTCTTTGGTCTGGTTATTTCTCTTTCCCTTTTATGTTTAGAAGGAAGACCTGAATTTATGCTTTCATCTCCTTTTGAAAACTGAATACCAACATTGCTCCAATTTCTCTATTCTGCTATTCTCTGTTGCATCCTTCTTCACTCCACAACTTTACCATTGGTTCTCCAACATTCCAAATTTATTTAGTCCCCTCTAGACATGGCCCCTCCTTGGTTCCCCAGAAAATTCGTTTCCTTTTCTGCCCCCTTGAGGTCCATCAGTCTTGCTAGGTGAGGTTTCATACCTCACTCTCACTTTCTTTTTGCATGGTCAAATTGCTGTGTTTTGCCATTTCTCATTGTTCTTATATTCTCTACCTTTTTTACTCTTCTTGATAGGTAAACCAACATTTCTAACTTGCTTTCCATTCTTTCTTTCCTCATCCTTATAACGTCTCATTTTCCCCCATAACCTTGCCCTAAGAAGGGTCCCAGGTCAAAGTTTCAGGAGGTTGCTTCTGTCTCAGTTCTTTCCCTCTGCACTCTCTTCCCCATCGGCAGAATTCCATTCACCTCCTTTTGCTTGTTTTTCACTCTTGCCTCATTTCAGGTCCCTGCTGTTCTAGTTTTCTTTCCTTGTTCCTCCCGTGGAAAGGATTTAAAACCTTTTACCCTTTAAGATGTTAATATTATCCCTTTCCTGGCGAACACAAATGATAACCTTCTTAAGCAAGGAACATATATTTTGATGAAAAAGAATTATGTGGGAGCTGGCTCCATGGCCTAGTAGTTAAGTTAGGTGCACTCTGCTTTGGCGGCCTAGGTTGGGTTCCCAGGCACGGACCTACACCACTTGTTAGCAACCAAGCTGTGGTGGCCCACGTACAAAATAGAGGAAGATTGGCATGGATGATAGCTCAGAGTGAATGTTCCTCAAGCAAAAAAGAGGAAGATTGGCAACAGATGTTCGCTCAGGGCAAATCTTCCCCAGCAAAATAAATAAATAAACAGACATTATAAAAAATTATGTGAACCAAAACAATGTATCTTTAATGTTGCAATGAAAGGATTTGGTGAAAGTATCATTTGGCAATTTTTGAGCTCGAATACCTTCCTGGTACCTTGAAGAGATAGTGGGCTTATCTGCCTACCCATTAGGTTTACCCTTATTTTCTCTTCCAAACTTGAGTTGATCCTGCTCTGAGCCTAACTTTTTCTATATTTCATGCTTATGATTGGAGAAAATCCTGCTTTCTCCTTGAATGAACAAGTTCTGGAAATTCAAGTGTGCACTATGCTCTCTAAATATAGTTTCATGCACACTTTCTCTAAGTATTCTTTTGACTCACAGGCAGAAGGTGCAAAACCCAGCTGGTTTACCCACTTCTGGCCCTTACCTTTGATGACATCAAGCAGTATAAGTTGCTACCCACAAGCTCCACCCTCCTGTGCTTCAGGGTGCTTGTGGCAAGAGTTGGATGTTTAACCAAATGCTTTACAACTGGTCAGAAGGTGCAAGCAACTTGCAGCCTCTGAGGTTCCCCTTCCTTCTGTATTGAAGTAGCTGTAGCACAGTGAAGGAAGAAATGTGAGAAGAAATAGAAAAGAAGACAGAAGAGCACCGGACAAGGGGGATAAGGAACGGCAGAGTGATGACAGCTTGACCTCAGGGAAGGGGAACCAGGAGGCTAGAAGGTGGGAATAGAGAAATCTGTATGGGAGAAGGCAATCTGGAAAGTGTGGTGAAGAGGACCTGAGCAATCTGGAAACTCACAGGGCAGAATGGAAGGACATCAGGAGCAGCGGAGGGGAGGAAGCCTTGTCCTTGCAGCTTTGTCCACTCAGGGAGGCAAAGATTTGGTTAAAAATACAACACTCCAATAAAAATTGAAATTGTTATATCTTTTAGCATTTTCACTAACCAAGCATCAGGGAAAGTGACTTGTTGAGTTCCTCTGTGGTGGAGAGAGGAACAGGTGGCCACAGTTTTGTTTTTTTTTTTTCTAAAAACCAGTCAAGCAGAGCCAAAAGCAGCAGTCAGACGACTACTTCTGGGCAGAACCTAAGATGGAAAAAGCAAATGTTGTTTATATAAATAGAGGTGCAGAGCCCATTGTTTCCTGTTGACAAATCAAGCTTCACTTCACCTCAAACCCTCAATTTTTTAAAAATAGCTGATAGTGGGGTTTTCTTTTTTTTTTCAATTTCTCCAATCACTTTCAGTGAGGTTCTAGTTTTTTCCTAATACAGGCGTCCTGCAATTCTTCTCTCTCTCTCTCTCTGGTGTTTTTCTCTTTCCTCTCCCTTTTCATTTCTTCTGTGTGTTTACCTAGCCATGCATCTGTATTGTGTAGCTTTATGGAATACACTACTAAATTTATGGTTCTAGGTATAATAAAATGTACATTACAGCATCCTGTCCATTTCAATATAAAAGAATTGGTATTTGTTTCAGGGCCAGTCCTGACATAGCTCTCACTAGTTGTGATGCTAAGGGAATAACTTCTCAACTGTAAATTGATGGCAATACATCTGCTTTACCAGTGGTTCTGAGAATTAACAAGCTCATGTATTCAAAAGATTTAGCACCTGTAAAACTATTATATATTTAATAAAGCTGTAAGGGGCTGGGCGTGTGGTGGAGCGGTTAAGTTCACAGTTCCACTTCCTCAGCCCAGGCTTCACCAGCTTGGATCCCGGGTGCGGACCTACGAACCGCTCATCAAGCCATGCTGTGGCAGGCGTCCCACATATAAAGTGGAGGAAGACGGGCATGGATGTTAGCTCAGGGCTAATCTTCCTCAAAAGAAAAATAATAATAAAGCCATAGGCCTTTTTTTTCCCATTTAGGCTGATTGGTTTCTCCCTAACTCTTCCTGAGTAGGTTGACTCTTCAGTTCCTTCCGTTGTAACACAATGAGTTTACCCTTGCTGGTTAGCCACTGAGTGGAGCAGTGTGGAAATCTGCCAACGGTCGACAATACCACCAATTCTGGTGTCTCCTTGGTTTAAGGTTTCTAATTTTAATTTAACTTTTTTTCAGCATCCAAAAATCTTTTTAATAGCAGGCGGGATCTGGGTTAGCTTTTGTAGCTGCGGCTGGCATGGCGGTCTCTGGCACACCCAAACGTAAGGCACCTGGAGCACACGGAGAGTTTGGTGTGACTGAGCACTGTTCCCGGCGCCTTGCCCAAATGCCTGTACACCTCTCTGCCCCCGTGAGGACCAGAGAGCAGGATGATGCCACAGCCCTTGGGGGAGCCCAGGGCCAGCTGGTCTAAGGTGAGGCTCTTTTTTTTTTTTTAAAGATTTTATTTTTCCTTTTTCTCCCCAAAGCCCTCGGTACATGGTTGTATATTTTTTTAGTTGTGGGTCCTTCTAGTTGTGGCATGTGGGACGCCACCTCAGCATGGCTTAATCAGTGGTGCCATGTCGGCGACCAGGATCCGAATCCGCGAAACCCTGGGCCACCGAAGTGCAGCGCGTGAACTTAGCCACTCTGCCACAGGGCCGGCCACTAAGGTGAGGCTCTTGCTTCCAGCAGTGAAGATGCGGCTCGAGGGGCAGCTGCTCACACGCAGGGCACACATCTTCAATTTGGGCACCTCAGGGACACGCACATCATCTGTTATAGCCCCTACAACCACAGCTGTTTTGTCTCCTCGCCAGGAAGCTTCATATTCTGGATGGTCCAGAAGAGAGACAGAGGCGACCAGTTGGTGCGACTCATTAACAACCTCTTCAGCACAACTTGGTTGAAGGAAGAGTTGGTTAGTCTGGCCAGAAACCCGTACAGCTCAACCAACAGCCTTTGGTGGATGTCCAGGCTCTTGGGCTCCTTGAGCCGAAGTTTAACCTTCCCATCTTTGTTGTGGCGGATGCTGACTCCCATGATGGCGCCCCCTGCTGGATCAGGACTGGACTAGATTTAATTTGTAAATTTTCTTGTCAGGTAGTTTTTTTTACAAACATCACGTTTCATTGTGAGAATGACCTTGTAAGATGGGCAGCAGAGGGATTATTGTTCCTATCTTTCAGACGAGGACCAGGTTTAGAGAAGTAAAGAGATCTGGCTAACTTCGTAAAGTTTAGCATGACAGAACCAGGCCTGAGCTCATCAGTTCTACAACTTACGCTAATGTTCATTCAATTACAGGTGTAGAGAAATCTAAAGTAGCTTACTTGTCTGCCGAAGGTTTGTAAGGGAGTCTGGAGTTTAGAAAAACTGGAATAAAAAGTACAGTGTACAACAAGAAAAAAAAATTAGATTTCTAAGGTTCCCAAATTTACTATTAGTCTGTTCATGGTGGGAAAACAGCATTTTTTCCCCCTGATTGTCACGTCCTCACAGATTACCTATCTTCAAACATCACCATTGCCAAAGTCAGGGATATAGTGGTTTTTGCTAGAGAGTCAGTAACTTACAGGAAAGACTGAAGGTTTTATTTATTTTGGAGATGAACTAGACAGTAGTTTTATGCTTATCTGTTTTCTTGTTTATCTCAGAATGCGAATGCTTTTTTTGCCCACTGACTGCGGGATGCGATGTGTGCTCCCTTAGTCAAAGTTGAGGCTGACTGCAGGGGTCTCTTTCACACTTACAGGTTTTCACACACTACATTCACTACCCAGGAACGTGCTACTCCAGAATTTTGTGGAGACAGAGCCAGTGGTTGAGAGCTATGACTCTGACCAGAAGGAAGAACGTGCAAAATACCGAAGAGGTTCATATTTTTCCTCTTCTCAGAAGAATGGAGAATCACTGTGTTTGCTGACTAGTCAATCTCTTAATCATGGTTTCTTTGATTTCTTCAGGAAGTATAGTAAGTGTTTTGGTACACAGACTCTGGAGTTAGACTACCTGGGTGCAAGTCCTGACTCCACCCTTGTGATTTTAACCTTTCTGTGCCTCAGTTTCCTCACTTGTAAAGGAGAGCTCAATGATATCTAACCCTTAGGACTATTTTAAAATTAAATGAATTAGATGGT